AGGAAATTTACAAAATATCTTCATGGAACATGATCTTTACTTAATATCCTAATGATTTTTGGCATAAAAGAAAAATCTACCATTTTGACCCATACAATGTATTTTTGGCTATTGCTACAAAATATACCCCAGCGACTTAAAGACTAGTTTTGTGATCCAGGGTCACATATACATTAAGTTGTTTTCTAAAGTTTTCAGTGTAGTCATATATAGAAATTTGGCACTGTTATTTAATTAATTTTCTCATGCATGTACTTTATTGTAATATAATCTAATTTCATATAAACCAACCCCTAACAGAAAAAACAAACAAAAACAAACTGTTGTTGGTCACTTTATATGCAGGTCACATGTTCTCTTCCTGTCTAATTGGGTAGTTATTGGCGGTCATTGGGGGAAAAAAATCTAATTGGTTGACAGTGTTGCTGCAAGATTTTTCCAAACCTCATGAGCTCTCGGATTCCTGGGAAGGGGGAGATGACAGTAGATGTAGTATAATGGCCAAACCAGATGGACTTGTTACTGCTCAGACTCTCCTCTCGAAGGGTGGCCAACATGTCCATCTGAGTCTATGGAAAACATTCACATTTCAGCCCAAGGAAAAAGTTGTCATCACATTTACCATAAGCAAAGCTAAAATTAACAGATCTCTTTTACCTGATTGATAATCCCAAAGAAGTTATAGGGCCGTTTGGGTCCTGGGGTCAGAGTGGCATCGGCACAAATGAACGAGTAGTTCCCAAAAGGAGTTCTGTGTATGTAGTGGAAGGATCCAACTTTCTGATTGGCAGAGTATTTCCTAAGTATTCAGTAATGAAGATTGAGACAACCTTTTTTTTTTCCCTTGGAAAAATAAGCACCAACATACTTTTCCCAATAAGACCATTAAACATGCACTAAAAAAATTTTTTTTTGAAGTCGACTTTAATATCTGAACCTTCTTTATAGTCATTATGTTCTGCATTTGTAATATTTGTACAGACCTGTAATAATTGTTCACGCTCTCCAGTGAAATAATATTAAAGGCATCTGAGGAGACAAGAAGACAGTATCAGTCAAGATTTCCAGGAAACGGAAGAAAGGCGGGGACAAAATAACTGATAACAGAGCTCTTATTACATGTCTGGCAGCTTTCGTAATGTAACACCAGTTACAGGAGCTGTGGGGAAATGGTATAATGGGAATAGAGGAAAAATGATATATGAGCTATGCGAGTTCATTAGAGATGTTCATTAGCCTCCACCAAAGTCGATGCAGTCTTCTTAGCTAAATATTAATATGCTAATCTGAAACACAGTTCCTGCACACTTTACACAGTGAGTTATGTATATTTAATGTGTTTATATTAAATATCATTGGTCCAAATCTTAGTCCATTTAACTGTATTTTAAACATCAAATGGGTTTTGATTGGCTGTGATTCTGTTGTGCTGCAAAGCATTTAGTTTTAGTGTCATTGGAAACTTAACGTGTCACACCCGGTTGGTTGTAAAAAGAGACTTAAAGAGATATACGGTATTAGAGAAATATAATTCTTACAGTATAATGACTTCAATTTCAGTCTGTTTCTCACGCAAAGCTATCAAATGTGCTTCTGAAGACTTGGAATGTAGTGCATGTGTCCTTTTATGGGAAATTTATGAAGGTTTACAGTCTGAATCAGCAACCAATTGTATGGAAAAGAGCAGCATGAGCATTCATCTAAATGTCTCCTTATGTATTTGACACAAAAAATCTTATAGATTTGGAATGAGGTGTATTTGAGCATCATTTCTGGGTGAACTATTCCTTTAAATAAAGATAGGAAACTGGAGGAGTAATGATAAACAGCCTCATGATTGCAAAGATGTTATTAATCCACTGAAGTTTGTTTTTGTGTCACAACAAGCCTGCAATATCCTGTTTAATAGAGCGGGGCTTCATTTCAAGTCATTAGTGTGACACAAGAGTGTCCAGCTGTCTTCACTCAATGTCCTTTAATTGTTGTATTGCCAACAGACACTGGGACAAAGACATTATTTGTCCCTGACCAACAGTGACGTGCAAAGAGGCAACTTAATTCCGGCCTTCATTTAGATCTCCCATCCAAACCTTCAGGCACTTTTATAATGATTTCTGGATGCAACTGACATTAGAAAACAAAGCTGAAGTGTGTAATTTTTGTGAATTTAAAATTGTAATATGCGACTGTATGTAAGATCCATTCATTAAGTGTGTAAACACTTTAATCATTCAAGCCCGACACAGCAACACTGGCTCAACCAATGGTCTGATTTTGGGGCGGGACTATCCGTTTCACTGACCAGTGGCAGACAAGCAGAGTGTTCAACACAATTTCATTTCATTGTGTAGCTATTTTACATTTTGATGAATTGGTGGCTAATTCGTATGATCTCATTCTTACGTTTTTTTGTATGATCTGCTTATGCCTCTGTTTATGCTTAGAGGGGGATTTTCACGCTTACTTTTTTCTAAAAATCGCATCATGCAACTTCATACAAAATCACTTTTTCCCGTGAGATCGGGTTGGGGTTTTTGGGTAAATCTTTTTGACAACTCCATCTCTCCATAAATCATCAAAATCAAAATAAATAAATCACCATGGTTTCCCCGAATGTCAATCCATTTTGTTCGTTCCAGCACTCGTGATCTTTTAAGGACGTTGTGGTAGGCCTGCCACTCCACTTCATGTTGAAGAGAGCCCAGTTTACTCTCAGTCTTCGCATCTGTCAAGTCCCCTGTTAAATAAAGTAAAAATGTTGGTCTATGTTGCGTGTATACAGGTGCATCTCAATAAATTAGAATGTCGTGGAAAAGGTCATTTATTTCAGTAATTCAACTCAAATTGTGAAACTCGTGTATTAAATAAATTCAATGCACACAGACTGAAGTAGTCTTTGGTTCTTTTAATTGTGATGATTTTGGCTCACATTTAACAAAAACCCACCAATTCACTATCTCCTCAAACATGCTTGGATACAGCACTCTGTGAACAGCCAGCTTCTTTGGCAATGAATGTTTGTGGCTTCCCCATGCTTGTATAGCCTAGTGAACCAAACTGAGAGACCATTTTGAAGGCTCAGGAAACCTTTGCAGGTGTTTTGAGTTGATTAGCTGATTGGCATGTCACCATATTCTAATTTGTTGAGATAGTGAATTGGTGGGTTTTTGTTAAATGTGAGGCAAAATCATCACAATTAAAAGAACCAAAGACTTAAACTACTTCAGTCTGTGTGCATTGAATTTATTTAATACACGAGCTTCACAATTTGAGTTGAATTACTGAAATAAATGAACTTTACCACGACATTCTAATTTATTGAGATGCACCTGTATATAAAATCTAATTTGACTATTTATACAGTACATAATGTACGGCAGCTCACCTGTGGCCAGCACAAGATCAGGTTTTATCACATCAATAGTGTCTCTACAGAACCTTTCGAAGTCTGGAATGCGCTTTGGATCGTGGAAACGACTAATATGGATGTCGGAAACCTGCACAGAGGAATCAGCATGTTTAGAAATCAGATAATAGTGGGGTTTCATGCAGGCCTGTGTGTAGTTAACAGTGAGCGTTGGAAATCTCACACATAAAACTTGCCTATTTATAGAATAAGTGTCACTGGCATATTAAAGGAGGCGTCTCTTATGTGCGAGTCAGTACACAGCTGAAAGTTTCCTGTTTTACCAACCAAATTAAGACACTAGGGCTTTATGCATACTGTACATACATATCTGATCTATCTATTTGGCTTTCTACATACATTTTGATTCCAGGATGTCATACATACAGTAGATTAAAAAAATACTAAATGGTCTAAATATATTATATATAACTACAATTTTAGAATGTGTGCAGACATTAGGCAGATGAATTAAAGAATGATGTTATATTCATACATATATCATTTTTATGACAAATAATTGGTGTGATAGTTAAAATAAGTTAAACAAATTATGAAAATCTACATCATTATCCATCAAAGAAATGCTTTAAATCATAGTTTCATCATAATATACAACAAACTGGTACAGTATGGTGTTGGGGAGGGTTAAGCACACACATTAATTAAGCCTTCCATTTGAAAACTGTCATTATAAAAATAACTATTCCACATGTCTTTACAGGTAAAACCAGACTCATATTTAAAGAACCAATTATGAACTTTCCTCTTTGGCCTTTCCACATTTTAGACAGCTTTACAACATTTTTTGTTAATATATTAACAAATATTTGCTTCAAAAATAATCTTTTAATCTAAAAAATAATTCAACCCCGCTTTTTTTCAACCCCTCACAAAATGATTTTTCCCCCCTCTATGACGGTGTACAATTTAGCAAAAGGACCAAGAGATTTATATGTGAAATATGCATGAACTATTATAGCTCTAAAATTTTCGCAGATCGTTAACAACGGAGTAATATTTATTCTAAAATTATATATATTAATAAGTGGGATAATGTAGTCAGCTGGTAATTATCAAAAAAGAAACACCTCCAAAGTTGAGGTTTTAATTTAATTAGCAAATGTATTTATTTATATGTCTCCTGTAGGAGATCAGGTTTTCTCTTTATAAGAAAAGGCCAATATCAATAACTTTGACCTTTCCACTCCATTTAGTTTATTGATTGCACTTCAGCGGGTCTGTAGAAAAGACAGGGACAGATTTTGCTACAATAATGATCTAAATTAAATGTTCTTATTCTGTTTTCTGCAGTAGTATTCAAGTTACTATAAAGATGCTGTAGTTCATTTAAATTTTAATATACATCCTTTAATATAATTGAATTGAGCTTCCACCTTTGTCATTATAAAATGTTTGTTTCAAACACATTTTTGGGGTTCAGTAGGTAGTTAACGGATTATGACCTTGTTTGGAATGTATCATAACAGTTCTGTATGTCTACATGCTTATACCATCAGAGAGAAGTACACAAACTAAATTGTCCCATCTGTAAAGACCAAATATAATCAATAAAAACACCATAATCACAGAAGACTTGAGCATTTCATTTAATTCATTGACATTAATTTTTTATGTGAGGCCACGTTCTATGTCCAGAGAGACAGATTGAGCATAAGTACCGAATCTCACTGAAATTAAAACAGTTATTTTACAGACAAGTGCTTTTGGACTATACCCTAAAAAAACATGGAGTATTAGGTTTTTATTTTGACACCTGGGCTGTACTGGAATGCGCCTGATGTCTCTGTCTGTACAGTTTGTACACAAACATTAGAAAACAATTTCACCTAAAGAGTTCATTAATATACAAAAACAACTCAAAAACTAAATTGTTTAATTCAGTAAAAGGCTATCGCTTGGCCAAAGTCTACCAAGTCATGCACATGGCATCTTACGGGGAAAAGTGATATTTCATATTGTAATGTATTATGTCTGTTTTAAGGAACAAAAAAAGGCCCTTCACATTCTGTACTCTTGCTTTAAGTGCACAATCGTGATTGCTTGTTTTTCACATAAATCCTCTAAGAAGTAGTAATGGCACAGCTAAAGTCACTTGTGAAATGTCTTGCTTGGATCCTTGGCGTGATCGAGCAGCAGCTGACAAGGTGTAAACTGGTTCCCAAAGACCTCCTCAAACTTTCTCATCTTCTCCACAAGTTTGTCTGCACCAAAGCTGTCCACAAACCTGAAGGGTCCTGCAATTAGATTAACAAAATTATGGGACTGAATGCATATTATCCTTAAACTGTAAAAGGAAATTAGAATGGAAAAAAATCTAAATGTAAATCCAGACTTAGATTCTCACCTCCAAGGCAGGGTGGAAAGCCGAGTCCGAACACGGCCCCAATGTCACCCTCCACTGGATTGGCAAGGATTCCTTCTTGCAAACACAGAACAGCCTCATTCACAAAACGGGACACCAACCTGTACTGAATATCCGAGTCTGAAGAACTGGGTGGAGAGAGAGAAGCAATGATTTTTAATTTTTTTGATGAAAAAATTATGAATGATCCTACTACAAAACAACAACACTGCATTTGTCCTGAAAAAAAAATTGTTTTATGAATTGAACCTAAAGAGTCTGAACAACTTACACTGCAGCGTTTGGCGTCAGCTTGTATGATTCCAAAATCTCCAGAGCTTCTGTGTTTATTTTTTTGATGAAAAAATTATGAATGATCCTACTACAAAACAACAACACTGCATTTGTCCTGAAAAAAAAATTGTTTTATGAATTGAACCTAAAGACAACTGAACAACTTACACGGCAGCGTTTGGCGTCAGCTTGTATGATTCCAAAATCTCCAGAGCTTCTGTGTTCACATCTCTGCGTTTAAGTCCTGGCTGGTAGATGTAGCAGCCCTTGCCTGATTTCCGGCCTAATAGTGAATTGAGAAGAAATAATTCATGACAATTATACTGAACATGTTAAAGGGTTAGTTCACCCAAAAATTCTCGTAGCTTCGTAACTTTACAGTTGAACCACTGATGTCACACGGACTACTTTGTCGATCATCTTGGTACTTTTCTGGACCTTGAACATGGTAGTTACCTTGCTGTCTATGGGAGGGTCAGAGAGCCCTCAGATTTCATCAAAAATATCTTAAATTGTGTTCCGAAGATGAACGAAGGTCTTGCGGGTTTTCAAACAACACGAGGGTGAGTAATTAATGACAGAATTTTCATTTTTGGGTGAACTAACCCTTTAAGCCCACTAAAGAATAGACCTTAAAGGGGTATTTAACTCCTGACAAGATTGGGTGCAGTGCTACATGACTAGAGAAAACAGAGAAAAGGGTTGTGGCAAAAACACGGTAGGAAAACTTCAATGCCCATAATGCACTGGGTTTGAGCGACTATCCCAGAGGTGCCCAAACTCGGTCCTGGAGGGCCGGTGTCCTGCAGAGTTTAGCTCCAACTTGCCTCAACACACCTGCCTGGAAGTTTCTAGTATGACTAGTAAGAGCTTGATTAGCTGGTTCAGGTGTGTCTAATTGGGGTTGGAGCTAAACTCTTCAGGACACCGGCCCTCCAGGACCGAGTTTGGGCACCCCTGGACTATCCATTAGCAGGGATAGAAAAATGCAGAAATGCAATCTGTACTTTTCGCAAAAGCCCTAGAGCTGTCAAAAAAAAAAAAGTTTTGTTGACAAATCAACGAGGATATCTTGGTGCAGGTAACAGAGCAAGATTACACATTGTTCATTTACATATACTTCTGACATTGAACAAAACAAAGCTGGTTGAAAAAGATGCTATAATGAATTTTGTGCAGATGAAGGGACAGACTTACAGTCTTTAGAACAGAATGCTCTGTATAAATATACTAGTTTTGACTATTTTGTCAGCTGAACAATCTGTGTGCTGTTCAGTACAAGCCATTGAACATACTGTACTTCTATCCCTCACAGCCTTGTTTTCATTCCTGTCAAAATTATATATGGCACTACACTGACACGTCCACAACATAAATTTCATCATCAGCATAGTATGGGCAAACTGAACGCGCACAGCCAGATTTTTCTAAATGTGTTTATTCTAAGGTGACATTTCCTAGTTCAGTGGCAAAAATACCATTGACATATTAGTTATTATTATCTGAATTACAAATCTGGGACAATATTATCATTATAATCTTTATTAATTACTATTATAATAATAATTATTATTTAACCCTAAATGTTTTAAATACAATTCACCAAAAATCACAGTATGAAAAATAGTAACCATTGTAAATAGCAACAGATCAAAGCAGTATTATATTATAAGAATTATGACTTTGACAAATTATGACAAAAAGGCATTACAAAAATAAAACAAATAAATATAAGATGTGATAAATTAGACTGTATTTAACAACTACTTTTCTAATATTTTTAAATTTTCTAATTGTATTTAATATTATTTTTACAAACTGTAAATATACGGTTTCCATTTTTTTTGTTATTTTATGGTTGTGCTTTTGAAAATTGATCTTTGGAGATTGAGCTTGTATTCACACACTGTCTACTTTGAAAGGCTATGCATTAATCTGTACACACACGCTAAAGCATTCACGTCAAAACTAGGGCTGTGTATCACCAGCAAAGTCACGATACGTATCACGATACAGAGGCCACGATACGATACGTATCACGATACATGACTGCACTGAATTTCACCTCAGCAGAATTTAGAAAAACAGCTGTTTATTAAACACTGCTTACTATAGTGCCATTTCTAACTATTGGCAGAGCAGGCAGTTGACCTGCATTATGAAGGGCCTCCATAACTGTACCACAGTACAATATAGGTAATGGCATATGTTTCATGTTTACATTGGGCACTCCCCACCAAGTACAATATTCTGATTGTTTGCATCTTGTTTTTAAGACCACAAATAATGATGTACATGTTCTAATAAATTTATATTGTAATGTACTCATTCTAATATTTAAAAAATCATTTACATTGATGGTAGGTTATCATTGCACAAATGAACACACTCTCAACAATTAAAAAAAAAAATTAGAAGAGTTCTAAACTAACGCACTGTCTTCACGCACACACACACCCAAGGCTGATTTATACTCGACGCGTCCGCAAGTTCGCTTTGAGTGCGCGTGACGTCGTTTCGCGTGGCGGTGTGCACAACATTTTTTTGTAACTTTCCGCGCAGCTCTGCTTCCGAAGATGCACGAGTTCAAAGTGACTCTAGCCGAACATGCACGTCTGTGCCAGCATTTGTGTGAAACAAGCAGTTTGGTGTTAAGTGCAGTCACACACACGGATCACGTTGCGGCCAAACTCAGACATTCAGGAACAAACTTTTTAGCGCTGCCCCACAATTTGATAAGTAGCACACTTAGCAGATATTTCCATATAGCGCAAGTGTGAAGCTCTGTTTTGGGGATTACGTCTCTTTATATCAGGCAACCCAGTTGTGTTGCAGTCTATATGTGCTCTATTCATTCTTTTTTAGAAACCTCACACTTTTCTACTCAGTTTTAAACGTTGTAAAATTTTAAACAAATTAAGCGTGGTCCACTGCTGCACACGTGCCACGATATTGATACAGGGCCAGCTGAATCGATACTCATATCGTCAAATCTCTGACGATACATCGTCGTATCGATATTTTGAACACAGCACTAGTCAAAACTAGTGTTAATTTCGTTAACGAAAACTATGACAAAAAATGTTTGTCAATGAGGTTTTTTCCCCTGATGAAAACGAGATGACGAGATGATAATAAGGTCATCTCATAAAACTGAGACTAAATGAACATGCAATATCGTTGACGAAAAAAAGTGAAGACTAAAATGTAGTTAAAAGAACAAAAACTTTACCAACACCTTTTTATTTTTGTTGAAAAATTGGAGCCAAAACATTTCAGACTGCTGTACAAGACACTAGTATGCGAGCGTTCATGTTTGCGGTTGCCAGATATCAAGACATCAAATCCCCCAATCAGAGCTTTTCTGTTAAACGGATACGTACTCTGCCCGGCTTTTTGCTTTATTCAATGTGGCAACCATTCACACGACTCGCTATCTCTGCGGAAGCACCGTGATCTGAAAACACCGACATACAGTACTGTACAAGAAAGCTGGAGTTCAGCAATCTCCATTTGAGGTATTCTGCTTAAATTAAAGCGTCATTCATCCAGTGAGTGTTCTGTCCTGGATCTCGACTGTATTGTTTGCGATAGAGGTTGCGGATTGTAACGTTACTTATGCAACCTCTGTGAGTCTTTTTGCCGTTGTTTTAAAAGAGAAACATTAATGCAATTTGGAATGATTGGAATTACTATTAGCAATTTCTCTGTTATAATATTTGAGGGTAGATTTTTGTTACAGCAGTTTTCATAACGTAGACAGTGCGAGTGTATAAAGTCAAAAAAAAAAATCTTTGGTGTTTATTTAGCTTCTAATTGATATCTGGTTATAAATCTGTACACTAACGTTAGAGGAGGTCAAATAAACCATGCATACGAGTCAATATTCTGTTGATTTGTGCTTATTGGTGAAAGAGCAACTTCTGATGAAATGTAAAAAATTTCCCAAATGACAACAATCATTGCAATTAAAATTGAGCAAAATAATATTTTTTTCATCTTAACCATTATACAGTAAGACGAAAATATGACGAAAAAGTTTCCACTGACTAAAACTAGACTAAAATTCTCAGACATTTAGTCGACTAAAACTTGACTAAAACAGGACAAGTTGACTAAATATGATAAAAACTAGGGCTGCACGATAAATCGCATGCGATATTTAACGTGCATCTTATCAGTAAAGCCGTTCTGTAATCAGCGGTAAATCTCCATCATGTGCGTGCTTTCACATTGAGCAGCATTAACTACACAGAGCCGTTGTTCACTGACGAGCTGTGCAAAACCATGTTCATATTCACGCGATTTTTTGCGCAGCTCGTCAGTGAACAACGGCTCTGTGTAGTTAATGCTGCTCATTGTGAAAGCCCGCACATGATGGAGATTTACCGCTGATTACACAACCGGCTTTCTGACAAGATGCGTGTTATATATCGCATGCGATTCATCGTGCAGCCCTAATAAAAACTAAAAGTTACATTTGACACAGGACTAAGACTAAATTAAAAATAGCTGACAAAATTAATACTAGTCAGTATACTTTGGGCTTAGGCTAAAGAATGTACCTTTAAATCCTTTCTCCACCATGGTCTTCAAAACCTCAATATTTCCCCCTCCAAATCTGGAGCCGAAGGCCTTGCCAAGGTCTTCAGCTACATGAGCTGCGACATCAATGCCCACTTCATCAGCCAGGGTTGCAGCACCCACAGGGAAGCCAAAGCCTGTGGTCAGGGCATCCAGCTTCTTGGGGTCCACACCTTCCTGTATGTAGAAAATACAATGATCTGCATATCAGGCCTGTTACTATTGAGAATGTCATCATAGCCTGTTTTTTATATATATATATATATATAACACTTTTACAAGTGTGAATGGGAATAAATGAATAATTCAGAAGGAAATTCACAAACCTGCAATACACGCACTGCCTCAGCCAACATGGGAGCTAAACATCTGGTGGTGTAGAAACCTGGTCCGTCCTAAAGACAAACATTACAATTTGTTATTCCAAAACATTTGAATGGATTACAGATCTGTAAAATGTACATTCTGGATTGAGGGAAGAATATGTGACGCCTCACCCCGACGACGATAATGACTTTGCCTTGCTTCAAGCCGACAGCCACTGCTGAGGCTGTTGTGTCCTTGGAGGTTTTATCAGTGGTGATGATCTCCAGTAGCTGCATCTTGTCGACTGGAGAAAAGTAGTGCATTCCAATGACCTGAAACAAAACAGTAACACGTTCAAGATCATCTCAAACTCTCCCACATGGTGGTCATAGAGCTCAAGTTTCTAACCTTTTCAGGTCGCTTGCTGACAGCTGCAATGTCTTTGATTGGTAAAGCAGATGTGTTTGTAGCAAATATACAATGTGGAGGGATCACCTACAATGACAAAATATGGTGTCATTAAATGTTTTCTATTTAAGAGAATTTGAAATCTTGATCTTGTTTGATATTAACTTACTGCTTCAACTTCTTTTAGGACTTTGTGTTTGATACTCAGGTCCTCAAAAACAGCTTCAATGATCATGTCGGCTTTATTAAAGCCATTGAAGTCAAGCTGTCCCGTTAGGCTGGACAGAAAACTGTCCCTTTCGAATGATGTTAGGCTCTTCTTCTTTGTCTTGTCATTTAGCCTGAAAATAAAATAAAATGAATAACATTAAATAAAATAAATATCGTATTAAAAATAAAAAGAAAAAAAGAAAATCATATAAATCAAATAAAACACAAAAATAGAATAAAAAAAATAACAAAAAAGTTACAAATTTTCCTCTCCCACCATCAAAGCAGCTTTAGCTTAGCTTAAAGGAATAGTTCACACAAAAATGAAAATTCAACCCATAAGACTTTGATTAATCTTCGAAACACAAATTAAAATATTGAGAGATTTCAGTCCCTCTATTGAAAGTCCAGGTAACCAAAACAGGTCATAAAGTTGTCATAAAACTAATCCATATGAATTAAGCACACTAATCCAAGTCTTGTGAAAAGATAAAATCACTTTATATGATGAACAGATTTAATTTAGGCTTTTATTCACATAAAAACACTTTTATTGTTGTTTTTTTTAAACACACCGATAATATAATTAGTGTTTCGAAGATTAACCAAAATCCTACATGTTTGGAATGAGGGTGAGTAAATGATGACGATTTACATTTCTGTTTGAACTTCTCATTTAAAGGTTTGATCTTGTTCATTTTTAAATTAGTTCAGTATACTTAAAGGGATACACCACCCCAAAATGAAAATGTTGTCATTAATCACTTACCCCCATGTCGTTCCAAACCAGTAAAAGCTTTGTTCGTCTTTGGAGCACAATTTAAGATATTTTGGATGAAAACCGGGAGGCTTGTGACTGTCCCATTGACTGCCAAGGAAATTACACTGCCAAGGTCCAGAAAAGTATGAAAGACATCGTCAGAATAGTCCATCTGCCATCAGTGGTTCAACCGTAACGTTATGAAGCGACGAGAATACTTTTTGTACGCGAAGAAAACAAAAATAACGACTTTATTCAACAATTCGCCTCCTCTGTGTCTCTCTGCATCACCGTAGCGCCATTTTGGAGAATAACCACTGAACGCAAGCAGTGTACGCTATTCTGTGTCAGCCACGCTGCACGGATGCGCTGTTTCTGTTCAAATCAAAGCGTAAATACACGTAGAAAACATATGCTTGTGTCGTGGCTGACACAGAAGAGCATACGCTGCTTGCGTTCAGCTCATATTCTCCAAAATGGTGCTACGGTGATGCAGAGAGACACAGAGGAGACGAATTGTTGAATAAAGTCATTATTTTTGTTTTCTTCGCGTACAAAAAGTATTCTCGTCGCTTCATAACGTTACGGTTGAACCACTGATGGCAGATGGACTATTCTGACGATGTCTTTCATACTTTTCTGGACCTTGGCAGTGTAATTTACTTGACAGTCAATGGGACAGTCACAAGCCTCTCGGTTTTCATCCAAAATATCTTAAATTGTGTTCCAAAGACGAACAAAGCTTTTACGGGTTTGGAACGACATGGTGGTAAGTGATTAATGACAACATTTTCATTTTGGGGTGGAGTATCCCTTTAATACTCACCCTTTATAGACTTGCTGCTCTCCACGACTGAGTCCTTCCAGTGTAGTGTCCTTAAGAATGGTGTGAACGCCTTTATCTACAGACACTTGAGCAATGCCAGCACCCATCAGCCCTGCTCCCAAGATAGCAAGTGTTCTACAAACAGAAAATCAAGAAAAATTCATAACTATTTTACAAGCAATAATCGTAAATCATTAAGTAGCTGCATTATAAATTAATTCATGCAGTAACTGTCAATTTACCTTATAAATTTACATATGAAAATATGAGTTAAATATTATCATATGTAAATACTATAAAAATACTATATCTTGTCCAGATAATACGAGTAAGAAATACATACTTTACTTCCTTTTCAGGGGTTCCGAATCGATTCTTCTTGCACGTGACCTGACCGTGATAAAGGCCAATAAGTGCTTTAGACTCAGGGGTCATGGCTAACTTGCCAAAATGCTGAAATGGAGATTAAGAGGGCATATTAAATTTTAATACTACACACATAACATTGTCTTTCATTTAAACCAAAGCCTGCATTAACCAAATATTATCATTAAATGAAAATGGACAGATTTGCTTTCAGTTGAGAAGTTCATTGTTCATTAAATCGAGTGTCGCAACTTTACTGATAATAAAGTTTAAACACTTTTACAGCACCTGTGACTCAACCAGGTAACCTGCAGTCGGACCCTGTTCTAGACCAGCCTTCACACACTGAAAGAGAAAACAAGCAGAACATAAACTATTTCTACCATGGTTTATGACAACACATCACCATTGAGCACAGAATAACAAATATCATACTTCAATTATCTTCAGTGGTGCAGGGTACAGTCCATTGGTCTGTTTCATGACTTTGTTCTGAACTGTATTGTAGATCTGCTGTCTCACAAACGGGTAACTCATGACATAGTCTTGAATTTCTGCAAGACAATAATTGGATATATGAATTTCAGTGATAAAGCAAAATGATGGTGTATAAAGGCAACAGTCTTAATCATGCCGAATTAACTTGTAGTTTCAAAATGATTTTAGACACATAATTGACTAGTAATTCGACAATTACTCTGCATCATGCCCTTTTCTTTGGTAAGTGGGATTTGCTTTTTAGCAAGTCCTCTTGCAGCCTCCACAGCTACTTCCTCCAAGTATTCAATGGTCCTCTCCTCTGGACTCTTTAATCCAGGCCCTGATTTAAAAAAAAAGTTTTATTCAGCAAGGATGTAATATATATTGATCAAAAGTGACAGGAAAGACTTTTATACACAAAAATCTACTTCAAATAAATGCTGTTCTTTTGAGCTTTCTATTCATCAAACAATCCTGAAAAAAAAAGAATCGTGGTTCGAACTTCTCACAAACATATTTTCACAAAAACATTGAACATAATAAGAAATATTTCTTGAGCACCAAATCAGCATATTAGAATGATTTCTGAAGGATCATGTGACACTGAAGACTGAAAATTCAGCTTTTAAACTTTATTTAAAAAATGTTACTGTTTTACATATATACACAATGGCAATATGCAGAAAGTGTTTTACCAAGAGTATCCACCAGCTGGTGAACCAGTCCCATTTTCTTGGCTTTATCTGGACGGATGCTCCTTCCTGTTAGTATAATATCAAAGGCACTGGGAAGGCCAAGCTACATAAAATAAAGGTGTAAAAACAACCAGACTTGAGTTGTGAACAATCAGTCAAGAGAATCATTTCTAAACGTACTGGTGGCAATGTGGCATATTACAGACCATTTTGGGCAGCCTCTGTGTTCCTCCAGCTCCAGGCAGAAGGCCGAGCATGACCTCAGGGCAGCCCAGAACCGTCTTCTTACTCTTGGTGGCTATTCTGTACTGACAGGAAATGGCAAACTACAAAAACATAAAACACAATATCAAAACTATATTTTCTGTGGAACTATATATATTTTAAATCTAATTTTTGGTCTTAAAGGGGTCATATGATGCGATTTCAAGTTTTCCTTTCTCTTTGGAGTGTTACAAGCTGATTGTGCATAGATAAGATCCCTGAAGTTGCAAAGACTAAAGTCTCAAATCCAAAGAGATATTCTTTATCAAAGTTAAGACTCTGCCACGCCCCCCTAAAACGGCTCATTCTAACACACCCCCACATATCTACCTCACTATGTGGAAATATTTGCATAATGCCGCCCAAATGTTCACGCAAAGAAAGAAGGCGTGGTTTCAGTAACCGCAGTTAGTGTTGAAGCAGCCATGTCAGGGAGATGCTGTGTGTTTCTAGGCGAAAGCAAAAGCACTTTATTTGGCCTTCCGAAAGTAGATGCATTTAGGAATCTTTAAGATTACTTACAACAGAACAGCAATGCATTTTATGGATGACCGTTTCGTGAACCTAGGAGAGGAGGTGTCACATCACAGTGGAGTCAGCTGTCTTAACCGTGGCTTGTGTACTGCAAACACATACCAGCTTCATCACTGTGTCTGTCACGCTCTGTTCCCCTTTCGGGCTCTGTCTTTACATTTATTTGGAAAGATGAAGCTCGCGATTATGGTAAGGGTCGTTACATTTCCGACGAGTGCTTGCGGTGTTCGGCCAATCACAATGCACTGGGTCAGCTGGCCAATCAGAGCAGACTGCGCTTGTCGGAAGGAGGAACTTTGTAGAAAACTAAGCGTTTGAGAGAGGCGGGGCATAGAGGACCTACAGTAATGTGCAGTATTTGAAAAATAATGTGTTTTTTGAACATTAAAGCATGTCAACATATTGTGTTACACCAAATACACAAAATGATTTTAAAAAAGCATCATATGATCTTTCAATTTTGGTTACTTGCTTCTCAGTCATCTCATTTATTGTTTGTATAACTCATAATCATCAACAAATAATAAAACATATCAAGAAAAATTCTAAACATTAGGTCAGAAATTTGACTAATCCTATGCTCACCCTGTGGGAGAAGAAAATTACTACAAATAAATACGAATCCAGTACCTCTAAGCCTCCACCAAGGCATGATCCATTAATGGCAGCGACAATAGGCTTAGGAGACTTCTCAATCTTCTCAAACATCCTCTGGCCCTCTTGAGAAAGGCCAGTGACCTCCTCTGCGGTCGTACAGGCCTGAATCATGCTAAATACATGGTACAGTAAAAAAAATAAATTAATAAATTATAAACAAACAGGCAAGATATCAGCAAGCAAAATTTGATAATGATCACCACAATCAACATATTATGAATCCTGATACTTACTTAAGGTCTGCCCCTGCAATGAAGCTGCCGGGTTTGGATGAGATGAGAACAACGCTCTGAACAGCATTGTTTCCCCAAATCTCATCCATAACTTCTGTCATTTCCCTTTGCATTTGAGTAGACAGTGTGTTGACCTAGACACCACAAAAACACATTACGACACATAATATCATTTGAATGCATAAATGCATGGTTTTGAGGAGACAATTACCCGTGCATTGGGGTCATTCATACGGATCACAGCTACATCTCCCTTGATCTCATAGTTCACGTGTGTACGAGCTGAGGAAATATTGAAAAGACAGTGAAAATGAAAAAACAATTACATTAAATAACTGAGATTATGAAAAACAAAAAATAAATGTTATACCTTATCTACATATTTGTGTTAGTGTGTGTGTAAATATAAATATATATATACACATATTCATAATTTCTGTTGATAAATATTATAGCATATATACATATTTTTTTTGTTGTGCATATTCATGTGTGTATATATATATATATATATATATGGAAAGACGAAAAGGCATCAAAACTATAAGAGTTTAATACAGCTTTAAATTTTGTATTTTTTTTCATACATAAAATACTCACAGTGCAGCCCTAAAATACTAATTAACTGTCAATATAAATCTTTATCAATCTTTGCCACTACCCTTCAAACCACTAGGTACGTATTTGTCAGCAAGAAGTTTATATATAATATAATTATAGAATATAATTCTGTACGTTCGCTTATTTTAATAAATACAGGTCAGAATAAGTATGTTGTGTGTTGACGATAAAACATTATTTTAACCATATTCTGAATTTTTATTTTCACAAACGTTATTTGAAACATTAAAGCAGACACATTATTTGCAATTCATATTTTATATTCTTTCCGTGTGTATAAAATCACTTTTATAAATGTAATTTGATGCGGCCCCCAAAATCGGACAGCTCATCTTTTATCCATATATATATTATATATACATACACACACACATATTCATTTTATTTTATATATAACACATAATGATTTTACCCATCATACAAGCAGCAACTCTAAATGTCCGTCTGGTGACACCTTTATTGGATGAGAAAGAAAAAAAGTTAATAGTGATGAATATGTGAAGGTAAAATCATGGATCATGGAAGGGTCTCAGAAGACATAATACCTAATATAAAAGACCTCTAACCAGTGAGGGTCATGCCAGGATAAGTTGAAAGCCAGTGATGATAAACTACACAGAAGAATGTAGACCGGCCTGTAGAGGACATTACTCCAGCAGCACAGTCACAGATGAACTTTAACCTAGTTTCCCCTTAACCTAAACTACAACCACAATGATCGTGTCATACACCTCCCAGTGATGCTGGAAACATTATGAACTGAACACAAAGAGTCTCTCTGTAAACAAATCTGCCTTAATAGTCATAATTTAACAATAATTCTTATATTTATTAGAAACCAAGTAGCAAATATCATCCAACCAACCCCGATTAAACTAGTTCTCAATGGCAGAGGGAACAATTCTGCAGTTAGCGAATATTAAACACGTTTATACATATTTATATTTATTCATTTTGTCGTGCATTAACAGATAATGGGCAGTATTAGCAATCTGAATGGGAACAGCATGCCAGTGCGCTAACTCTAACTTACTGTCAATAAAACAGCGTTTATAAACGCTATCGTTTCGTTGCATACACCGTAACGTTATCACAATGTACGTTAAACACGAACATGAAACTTACACAGTCACAAACATTCATTACTAGACCTTGAGTTAACTAGCAGGTGAGCTAAGCTACTACAGTGGAGTTTGACTGAGGTGACTCTCCAAAGTGTTTAATTACGCAAGTGTCAAAGCGAAATACAATAAGGATGTGGAGGAATTTAATTAAGGAAAGGTTGTGGATGTGTGAAGTACCTGGAAACAGGGTATATCTTCTGCTTGTGAGTCTGGAGAGGGAACCGAGGGCTCGCACGCCGGCCATGTTTGGAGGTCAATGTGTGTAATGACAGACAGCAGGCGGAAGACTGGAGGAGGAAGAGGAGGAGGAGGAGGAGGAAGCATGGCTTTCACTATACTGCCAGAGACCAATCCACCAAATGTGAACATATATCACTGATATGTCATATAAGTTAATTGATATATAAAATACATGTTTTGAAAATCCCGAAACCTTAAAAAAACTATAATAATTGTAGGTTTAAATGGAAAATATAATTCTGTATTTGCAGTGCTCTCTGTGTGTTGTGTTGTTTTTCACTTAAACCTAGAAATAAACAGAAGATTTAAAAAAAATTAAAAGAATAGTTTTTATAATAATTAGGCTACTTAAATTATATATTTCTATAAGAACAAGAGGTTAGGCAAATAGAGTGATATCATTTATATAAACGAGCCTATATCTATAGCTATAATTGATTTAGCTCTTTAAAGCAAAAGGGAGACATACTTTCACATTTTGAACGTTTTACTCAATTGTTATGCTGAAAATATAACTTTGCATCAAATTGGAAAAATCTGAGGGAACAGAGGCCTTTTGGTGCCCAGTTTATACATCGACATGACTATTGTGCATGTGGTTTATGATCATTTAATGCATATGTACGTTTTTTTAGTATCATTAAGATATTCGTTTTTATTAGATTTGTTGTCATATTTTCATTTTCTGTTATATATTTTTATGTTTTCATGTATCATTTTAGTTACAGTTTTAGTAATTTTCTTGTGTGTTTTGTCATTTTTATAAGTTACTGTTATGTCTTTTTGTCTAATTTTTATTCTTTTTTATTTCTGTTTTAGTTTTACTTATTTAAGTATATACAGTTAAACTGAATGAAAATAAAAAGTCTTGACTTGGCCACTAGCTGAAATACATTTTTTTAAAGTTTAATTTTTGTTGTACTTGTTGTGTATTTTATTTTAGTTACCGTTTATTTATTTATAAGTAAATGTTTTTTATGGATTTAGTTAGCTTTAGTCAACTATAATAATCCTGATACAAATCAGCTGCAGTTGCTTGAAAGCCTGCAATGTAATGTTTATCCACAAGATGGCAAACACGCAATAAAATGATCTCTGTAAGACACAGATGGCAGTGATCCTCAAATCTTAAATGTTTAGCTCCAACCCTATAATCAAACAAACCTACCTGTGATTTTCTAATGATCCTGGAGACATTGATTAGCATGCTCAGGTGTGTTTGATTAGGGTTAGAGCTAAACTCTGCAGGAAAGTGGCTCTCGTGGGCCAGATTTGAGGATCACTGGTGTGTGGTAGGCCATTAATAATTGCACTGACTTTGTTATTTACTCCATCTATTGTTTGTATAGTCTGTATTTATTTCTTTGTCTTTATTGTCACTTTGCTATATTTCTTATGTTGCAACTAATGTTTCTTAAAAGGATTGTTCACCCCAAATGAAAACTCATAATTTTCTTCCCCTCTAAGCCATTTTATATGTGCAGCCTATGACTTTCTTTGACACAAACAAAGATTTTTAGTAAATATTTTGGCTCTGTAGGTCCATACAATGCAAGAAGTGACCAAAATTTGTAGTTTCATGTAAAAGCACCATAAAAGTAATCCATATGATTCCCGTGATTTAAAATAAATGCCTTCTGAAGCAATATAATCAGTTTTAGGTGCGATCAAACCCATTTTATTTATTTATTTTTGCATAAGATCTCTTTGATGATCATGATTGCAAGCTTGGGATCAGAACATTGCAGTTACGTTGCCAATAACTCAAAATTACCAAAAATATTACTAATTTAATATAGGAATAGAACGTACTTGGGAACATTAGGATATTGTTGCGAGTTGTTAACTTGATTGTAATTTGTATTTTTGCAACATAGCAATTTCATTGCCAGCTAAGCCCCGCTCACACCAAGGATAATCACTATAAAGATAACTATAACGATAACTACAGTGCACAGCATCTGATTAAATATAAAAGATGTATTTGCTTAATGATCACTAATATAATTCATAGAAAGATGGCAAAATTGAAATTTATTAAATACATTCTTAATAAAAACTGAGAAATACATGCCATTAATATCTGTAAAGTAAGAAACTTAGCCAATTTTTGTTTAAATGAAGGATTGCAGAATTGAGTACAGCCTAGATTTAATTCAACCAAGTGTAATATTCTAGAACTTTAATATGTCCTCCATAACTCTAAGTACACTGCTCTGACACTTCTTGGCACTGAGTGTACAAGTTCATGACAAATTTTCACATCTGTGCTGTTTAACTCCTGGAGGACGACCTCCTTAAATGCCCTGGTCTTTAATGGAGAGTGTTGCTCATCTCTACAGAATCTCTCACAGCAGCTCAAGAGTGTTAAGGTTGAGTGAAATACATGTCCACTGAAGGATCTCCACCTCAGGAGAATGAATATCTTCATTGTAATGTTAAAAAAATGCCCAACAATGCAGGGAATGAGAAGAGGGTAGCATCTTCAGTTTCAGGTTTATGTCTATATTTTGTAAATATGGGTCTTGGAAAAAGCTAAATGAGTTTGTGCTTTGGCTACAGTCGGTAGTTCTGGTGTGGATAAACAACCATGCATGCCACTTCTGCATGCTGCATCTTACTCTGTGAGATAAAGTGTCACTCTTTTCACAGCTTTTGCCGGCTCTGAGACACTTTCACAGTGTTTCTCCTGCTCTTTTTCTAGCAAAAACTCACTCATCACTAAATGAAAGCTTAAAGTGAAGACATGATTATTTCAGGGGCCTTTTCACAAGTCCATTGTTTTTGAATCCCTGTTTTACTTTGGCTATATTTTCACACTTAAAACAATAATTTGGTATTCCTCTTGTACCATTGTCCTCTTTTATGCTAAGAAATAAATCTCCTGACAGTTCTTGCTCAAGTGGTTTCATTGTTGTCAGCATTAAGTCGGAGTATGATTCAGTGGGCCATATAACACTTAATTATCAAGAAATTACTTGCCTTTAACAGTTTTGGTTCAACATACTTACCTGTTGATCAATACTTACCTTAACCGTACACCAGACTTTTAACTTTTAACTTTTAGGAGGGTGTACTCATTTTTGCAACACAACATTTTATCACTTTGATAAGAAAATGGTATTTTGTTGAATAATTTTAACATTCTTCTTTGGTAACTGATCACGCAGACTTAATGGAATATTATCTCTCTAAAAAACCATAACATGCCTTCTAAGCAAAGAGTAATTGCTGAATTTAAGTTTCAGAGGGGGTGTACTCATTTATGCAGTGCACTGTATATTAACGTTCACACTAACACAACAACATTCTGTTTATTATAAGCACTCACTGCAGTTGTGTAACCCTCCTCAAGCTAAGCAGGATGGATTCTGACTGACGCCACTGACTGCTGCATCTCATGTTTAAATCAGGGACAGTAACATGCATGACTCATAAACCAAATAATAGAATATTAGGTTCCTTTTGCAGCATGACAAAAATGTGTCCTATAATAATCATGTGTATTTTAATAATAATCTCCAGTATTTTAAAGGAATACTTTGCCCAAAAATGAAAATTTGCTGAAAAATGACCCACCCTCAAGCCATCCGAGATGTATTTGAGTTTGTTTTATTATCAGAACCTTGGAGAATGTAGCATTGCATTACAGTGAATGGGTGCCGTCAGAATGAGAGTCCAAACAGCTAATGAAAACATCACAATAATCCACAGGTAATCCACATGACTCAAATCCATCAATTAACATCCTGTGACATGAAAAGCTGTATGTTTGTAAAAAAAGAAATCCATCAAGGCATTTTAAGTTAAAAACCTTTGACCAAAATACCAGTTTATAATCCATAACACTTCCTCCCGTGAAAACATCCATCTCCTGTTGTCCCCTCACATCAAAATCTCCTGACATACTTGTTTAGACTGTTTAGAATGGTTCGCTCCGATTTAGACAAGATGACTTTTTTCACTGGAGAAAAAGCAATGCTATGGGTAATTTAGCAGGTGTTTTAACTCTCATTGTGACGGCACCCATTCACTGCAGAGAATCCATTAGTGAGCAAGTGATGTAATGCTAAAATTCTCCAAGTCAGTTCCAATGAATGAACTCATCTACATCTTGGATGGCCTGAGGGTGAACTATTCCTTTCAAATGAGAATCAAACGATAACACAGTATGTAAAGCAGAAAAAAGAGAAATGCTGGTTTGAAAATATAATTATTGTATACATTTATAATAATCCATGTTTTATTTATTTTTTTAAAGTTTACAATGCCAAAATGTTTCTCACTGTTGAACATGTATGCCTGCAATGGTTGGCAAAAGTGTATTATAGTTTTGTTTTTGAAAAACACAGTAATACAACATATTCTTGGATTATAATTAAAAATATTTATGAAAAATAAACCTCTTCTATTAATATGCATTGGTATGTCTTAATTTGTAAATATGTAAAGTGACCTTTAATATCTATCTAGCAATCAAAAAGAACCAACATACATAATGTGGATAAAGTTGCATTGAGTTTTTATATATCAGGTTTAAAGAACACAGCATGAAATCTAATGCTGTTGGGTTTAACAAACCTATCTCTCTGAGACATACACCTGCAATAAGCAGATTTGAAATAGTCCAGACAGTTCCCCAAATATGACACATTTCCTGCAACAATCAGCTATGAGCAAGTGGATGTGTGCAACTCATGCAATATAATGTCCTTCTTGATCTAAACCGTTGATTCCATCTCCGTATGTACAGTATCCTCCAATTCTTTCCGATCAGCCCATCCTACAGTGTGCCTGCAGGGCTTTTCTTTACTCTTGGTCAACTCCGACTCTGGCTTAGCCTTTTTAGTCGGATTACAACATAGCTTGGGTTTGCATTGACTTCGACAGGAAAGCTCACACTGGGAGTCACCAGATCCTTCAGAAATGGGAGAAAATTCTGGCTGAACAGTAGTAGCATAGATGCCTTCATCATGGAAGACGTCTTTTAATGCGTTTGGCTAAGTCCATGTAAGAAGCTGGATCCGTGCATTTGATGTGAGCATTT